GTGAGTGAGTGTGTGTGTCTGTGAGTGTGAGTGTGTGTCTGTGTGTGCATGTAAGTGTGTGAGTGTGAGTGTGTGTGTGTGTATGTCTGTGTGTGAGTGTGAGTGTGTGTCTGTGTGTGTGTGAGTGTGTGTGTATGTCTGTGTGTGAGTGCGTGTGTGTGTGTGAGTGTGTGTGTGTATGTGTGTGAGTGTGTGTGTGAGTGTGAGTGTGTGTATGTCTGTGTGTGAGTGTGAGTGTGTGTGTGTGTGTGAGTGTGAGTGTGTGTGAGTGTGTAAGCTACTCATCGTCCCCTGTGGTACTGATGAGTGAAGCAGCTTCTAGCCTCTGATTTGCCAACAGCTTGCAGCAGCGGGTGGATCCTCTACCCATGGCGGTACTGACTCATGGCTAAGGGACACCACTGCCCCTCGCAGTGAGCTGATTGGCTTGTGGTTCAGTGCAGGTTTCTGACTATCCCTCCAGTCAATAGGGCTGAGCTCAGGCCCAAGCAATAAGAGTCTGTCCATTCACTGGATCTCTCTCTCTCTCTCTTTCTGCATAGATGCTGCCTGGTCTGCGAGAGTTTTCCGGAACGTTCTGCTGTTGTAGCAACAGGGTCTTGGCCCAGCGTGCTGTCGAGTGTCTGGGTGCGACTGGGAATGCACCATGGATCTGAAGGGAGGCTCAGTGTACAGCAGTGAGAGTGTCCGACCCTCCAATCTGGAATCCTTCGCCAGTAGATCCACTCTGCACGGGATCAGCCACATTTTTGCTTACGGCCCAATGAGCATCCGCAGGATCTTGTGGATTCTTTCCTTCCTGGGTTCCTTCAGCCTCCTGTCGCTGGTCTGTGTGGAGCGGGTTAGTTATTATTTTGAGTATCCCCATGTAACCAAGCTGGATGAGGTGTCAGCTGGGAACCTAACCTTTCCTGCTGTCACTATCTGTAATCTCAACGAGTTCCGCTTCTCACAGATCACCCAGAATGACCTGTACCATGTTGGTGAGTTCCTGGCATTACTGAACGAGCGCTATGAGATCACCAAGCCCACTCTGGCAGAGCCACACATCTTGGCTGCTCTGAAGAAACTCGCCAACTTCCGTCACTTCAAACCCAAACCGTTCAATATGTCCGACTTCTACAATCGCACGGGTCACACCATCCGTGACATGTTGTTAATGTGCACTTACCGCGGAGAGAACTGTACTCACCACAACTTCACCACCGTGAGTAATTTAGCACCACCCTCACTGAGGGGTGTGGGGGGGTGTGGGGGGGACCGTGGGGAGCGCGGGGTGTGCGAGCTGTTCTCTCCTGAACCAAGCTGGGCCCAGTGTTCACAGAGATCGCAGGGATCTATTAGGATTCCTACAGTGCAGAAAGAGGCCATTCAGCCCATCAACACCACACTGAGCCATCCAAAGAGCATCCCACCCAGATCCAGCACTCCCCTACCCTATCCCTGTCACCCTGCATTTCCCATGGCCAATCCACCCTACCCCGCACATCTTTGGACTGTGGGAGGAAACCAGAGCACCTGGAGGAAACCCACACAGACATGGGGAGCATGTGCAAACTCCACACAGACTGTCGCCTGAGGGTGGAATCGAACCCGGGTCCCTGGCGCTGTGAGGCTGCCATGTTCTGTCGAATTGTATAAGTTGGGTGGCATGGATTGCTTACAACAAAACTGTGGGGCTGGGGGAGACGGTGGGGGGCGCATTGAGGAACGTGTGAGAAATTGAAGAGACAGAGGAACAAGATCAGACAGCAGGGTAACAATAGGATAAAGTCAGCCAAAGTGTAGCAGGAGAGGACAACGGGGAAACACAGGAGATAAAGGTAGCAGCTGTAAAAATCTGAAATAAGCAGAATGAAAGGCTTTGTATTTGAATGTACACAGCATTGAAAACAACAGAGCTGAATTAATAGCAAAATTGGAAACAAACAGATAGGATCTAATGACCATAACAGAGACAAGGCTGCATGGTGACCAAGACTGGGAAATGAATAGGGACTTTTATTTACATTTACAGGATGTGGGCATCACTGGCCAGACCAACATTTATTGCCCATCCCTGATTGCCCAGGGGGCAGTTAAGCGTGAACTACATTGCTGTGGGCCTGGAGTCACATGTACACCAGATAAAGGGCATTAGTGAACCAGATGGGGTTTTTACCACAATCAACAATGTTTATATCATTCAAAGATGCTTTTTCTTCCAGATTTTAAAAAAATATTGGAATTTCAGCAGCTGTTATGATGGGGTTTGAACCCAGGTCTCCAGAACCTTAGACTGGGATTCTGAATTCCTCAGGCAGTGACATTACCAGAACATTATCGCCTCCCTCTGGCAGACGGGAAGGAGGAGGATATTCAGCACCAACCAGTTTGCTCCACCATTCAAGACGATCCTGGCTGTTTCCCCACTCTGCCTTCATACTGGCAGAGACTGAGGATTGGTTAACAGACAGAAAACAGGGAGCAGGAATAGAAAGATCAATCTCCAGTCGGCAGGCTGAGATTAGTCAGGTTCTCCATCGATCAGGATGCCAGCTCTAGCTCTCAACAGTTTCTATCAATTATTTGATGTGGTGACCAATTATAATTGGTCCAGGTTTATGAATGATAAAATGAGGCAGGAATGGCGTGTTGTAAAGATAATGTATTGAGACTTCAAGGGGATTTTGACAGGCTGAGTGAGTGGGCAGACAAATATTGTGGGTGGAATATAATGTGGATTAGTGCGCATTTAGTCACTTTGGGGGAAGGAACAGGAATGTGGAATATTTTCTATGTGGTGGGAGTTTGCGAAAAGTAAACCATCATAACTGGGCACCTTGAGCAATTCAAATGACAGCACATTGGCCTTTAGTGCAGGAGGATTTGAGGACAGGAACAGGAATGTCTCACATAAAATAAAACCAAGAATAGCACATTCTGAAGATCTGAAACAAAATCAGATGGTGCTGCAGAAACCCAGCAGGTCTGGCAGATTCCATGGAGAGAGAAACAGAGTTAACGTTTCGAGTGCAGTGATGTCTTGCTGAAGTTGGGTTGAGCCTTGGAGAGGCCGTACCTGGAGTTTTGTGTGCAGTTGTAGTCCCCTTGCTTAAGGAAGGATGGACCTGCCAATGAGGGAGGGCAGCAGAGGTTCATCAGATGGATTCCTGGGACGGTGGGACTGTTCTGTGAGGAGAGATTGAGGAAACTGGACCAATATTCTCTGAACTTTAGAAGAATGAGAGGTCATCTTACTGAAAGGTAGGGAGAGATGCAGGAGGATGATTCTCCCGAGATGGGGAGAGGGGTTCTAAAACAAACATAAATAGTGTCAGGATATGGGGGCAACCATTTCGGACTGAGTTGAGGAGGAATTTCTTCACTCGGAGGGAGATAAATCTTTGGAATTCTTTCCCTCAGAAGGCAAGTATGGCTCAGTCGTTGACAGGTGCAAGACAGAATTCGATAGGTTTCTAGATATTTAATGTATTGAGGGAGGTGGAGATATTGAGATGGGTGATCAACCATGATCTAGAATCGTGGTACAGGCTAGAGGGACTGAATGGCCTAGTCCTGTTCCTATTTCCTGTGTACAGACCACAGTCATCCAGCTTGTGTCTACATAACCAAAACTAAACATTTCCTGTGAGGTGTGATTTCACGATTGAATAACACTTCCTGATCAATCCCAAGTCTGGTAATCGTTCCACTGATAATGAATTAAAAGTAATTAGCCAACCTTACAACGTGGCTCATTGATGTGTGTTAGAAATGACAAACATTCATAGAGCACACACATTGTCTGCCAGCAAAAGCAATCAGTTTGAGCTGTTTTTGTTTGAATTGCCCATGAGGTTTAGGAACCCATTGCTTTCTCCATGAACAAGGCCTCAGTCTTTCAGAGAAGGTTCACTCGGCTCCTTCCTGGGATGAGGGGCTTATCATATGAAGAAAGGTAGAACAGGTTGAGCTTGTGAGAGATAGTAGGAACTGCCGATGCTGGAGTCTGAGATAACAAGGTGTAGAGCTGGATGAACACAACAGGCCAAGCAGCATCAGAGGAACGGGAAGGCTGCCATTTCGGGTCTGGACCCTTCTTCAGAAATGGGGGAGGGGAAGGGGTTCTGAAATAAATAGAGAGGGGGGAGGTGATGATGGAAGGTGGATAGAGGAGAAGATAGGTGGAGAGGAGACAGACAGGTCAAGGAGGCGGG